TTGGCAACGGTTTGACATCGCATCGACATTGGGTTGGCATTTCGCTGACGAGTTCGAGTGCCTCCCCCCCACAGAAGGATTCCTATGAAAACCTTGCACAAGAAGGGATCATTTTGAAAGCCCCCACATGAAGGATTCAAAGTGAAAGCCCCCACAGAAAGATTCAAATCGAAACCCTACACGGGAGGATTCCGATCGAAATCCTCCAAAGAAGGATTCGTAACCACATCATCCACATAAGGATCCCTAGTAAAATCTGTTGGAAGACAGGAATCCCGCCATCGGCATTGCCTTGGCATTGGTTTGGCAACGGTTTGACATCACAGCGGCATTGCGTTGGCATTGCGTTGACATTGCGCTGGCGAGTCCTACTCAAACACTTCACGAAAAGGATTCCTACCGAACACCCCCACAAAAAGGATGCCTATTTAATCCCCCCACAAGGAGGATTTCAAATGGAAATCGTCAACGGAAGGGTTCCATGCGAAGCCCTCCATAGAAGGTGTCCTATTGAAATCCCCCGAAGAAGGGTTCTTAGAAGGATTGCTATTGAAATCAACCACAAACAACTACCCCATGGGCATTGCATTGGCATTGGTTTGGCATTGCGTTGGTACTGCTTCGGCATTGCGCTGGCGAGTTCGACTCGCTCCCAACACAGAAGGAATCCTTACCTTCCACAAGAAGGGATCCTTTTGAAAGCCCCCCACATAAAAGATTCATACTGAAACCCCCCACAGAAGGATTCCATTCGAAACCCTTCACAGGATCCCTTTTGGAATCTACCACAAAGGATACCCCCCATTGGCATTGCATTGGCATTGAATTGGGATCGCCTTGGCATTGCTTTGGCATTGCGATGGCAAAGCTTTGGCAGTGCGCTCGCGAGTCCTAATGGCTCCCTCCGCAGGCAGACTCCTACTGAAACCCTCCACAAGAACGATTCCGATTGAATCCTCCCACATGAAGGATTCCTACTGGAACCCTCCACATGAGGATCCCGATCGAAACCCTACACATAAGCATTGCTATTGAAATCCTCCGAAGAAGGATTCGTAATGACATCATCCACAAAGTATTCTTGTTGAAATCCACCGAACGAAAGAATTCCCTCATTGGCATTGCATTGGCATTGGTGTTGGTTGGGAATGGATTTGTATTGCATCGGCATGCATTGGCCTGGTGCAGGAGATAGACGAAGAGAGAGAGAGAGAGAGACAAAGAGAGAGAGAGAGAGAACACTAGAGAACGATATAACGAGACAAGATTAGTATGAGGGGATCACGGCGAAAAGAAAAATGACAAAAAACAATCAAAGTGTAAGGGTGAACGAGCGTTTCGCTCGATAAAAACCGCATGAAAACGACGCGGGGCTCCACGATCCCCCGGCCTCTCCTCCTCCTCGTCCCTATCCTCGCCCTTGCCCGCGTCCTAGTCCTCGTCGTCCTCCTTCTCCTCTTCCTCCTCCTGCTATTCCTACTCCTACTCCCCCTTCTCCCCTCCTCTTCCTCTTCCACTTCCTCCCCCTCCTCCCCCTCCTCCTCCTCCTTCTCCTCCTCCTCCTCCTCCTCCTCCTCCTCCCTCCCCCCATCCCTGAAAGCACTCCTCGAGGTCAGCTGGCAAACTGCCCCCCGGGATGCCATCAGGACCGGCGTGCGCAAACAAAGTCTAGGCGTGGCGGCCAGGGCAAACACCGACAGCAAACTTGCCGTTCCTGGTCCCCCTCCCCCTCCCCCTCCCCATCTCCTCCTCCTCCTCCTCCTCCTCCTCCTCCTCCTCCTCACTACCATCACCATCATCACCACCACCACCATCACCATCATCTTCATCATCATCACCATAATCATCATCAGCATCATGATCACCAACATGATGATAATCATCAGCAGCATCATCATCGAAATCAGCATCAGCATCAGCATCAGCATCATCATGCTAATCAGCATCATCATCATGATCATCATCAGCATCAGCAGCAGCATCAGCATGAGCATCATCAACAGCATCCATCATCATCTGCAGCAATACCATCATCATCAGCAGCATCATCAACATCATCGTCATCGGCAATGTCATTATCACCGTCATCATCATCACGACCATCAACATCACCACCACCTCATCATCGTCATCACCATCAGCACAGTCATCATAATCATCAATATCATCATCATCATCATCATCACCATCACCATCACCATCACCATCATCATCGTCATCATCATCACCATCACCAACACCCTCGTCATCACCAGCATCATCATCATCATCAGCAAGTGCATCAACGTCATCATAATCATCATGATCATCATCACCACCGTAAGCATCAGCATCAACATCGTCATACCATCACCATTCTTATCATCATCATCTTCATCATCGTCATCGCCATTGTCATCATCATCATCGTCATCATCTCTATCACCACCATCATCACCATCACCACCTCCACCTTCATCACCATCATAACCACAATCATCATCATTACCACCATCGTCATCATCATCATCGTCATTATCATCATCATCACCACCATCACCATCAATATCATCATCATCACCGAATCATAGCCATCATCAACGTCACCATCATCAGCCTCATCATAATCAGCAGCACCACCACCATCATCGACATCATCATCATCGTTATCATTATCAGCAGCATCACCGCCACCACCACCATCATCACCTTCGTCAACATCACCATCGCCATCATCGCCATCATCAACAGCATCATCATTATCAACACCATCATCAGCAGCATCACCATCACCAACACCATCATCATCATCACCACCACCATCATCATCAGCATCATCATCATCACCATCACCATCAGCAGCAGCAGCACCACCAACACCACCATCACCACCACCTTCACCACCATCACCACCATCAATATTATCACCATCATCATCATCATCCACATCGTTATCCACATCAGCCGCAGAAGCATCACCACCACCACCATCATCATCACCACCTTCATCATTATCACCGTCAGTATCATCACCATCATCATCACCCGCATCCTCATCCATATCATCAGAACCCTCGACCTCATCATCATCCCATCCTTTTCCCCCTTCTGCTCCTCATCATTACCACCATAATAATTATCATCATCAGCAGCATCACCACCACAACGATCATCATCATCATCATCACCATCATCACCATCACCATCATCGTCACTACCACCATCATCATCATCATCACCATCATCATAATCAGCAACAACACCACCACCATCATCGACATAAATACCAGCAGCAGCATCATCATCAGCATCAGTCGCAGCAGTATCACTACCATCACCATCACAATCATCATCATCACCATCGCCATCATCATCGTCGTCATCGTCATCAGCATCACTACTGTCAACAACACCATCAGCAGCAACACTACCACCACCATCATCATCACCACCACCACCATCGTCATCACCACCAGCATCATCATCATCACCATCAGCTTCATCATCATCATCAGCATCGTCATCATCATTATCGTTATTATCATCATCAACAGCATCACCACCACCATCATCATCACCACCATCATTAACATCATCAGCATCATTCATATCATCACGCTCCTCGACCTCATCATCATTCTCAGCCTGAACCCAATACATGTCTCCCTCCTCCTCATCATCATTGCCATCAGTATCAGCAGCAGCATCACCACCACCACGATCATCATCATCACCATCATCAATATTATCAGCGCCATCATTACAAACAGCAACACCTCAACCATCATCGACATCATCATCAACATCATCATCATCGTCATCAGCATCAGCATCAGCAGCATCACCACCACCGTACCATCATCATCATCATCATCATCATCACCATCAATATCGCCATCATCATCATAATCATCATCATCATCTTCAATATCATCATTGACAACAATATCATCAGCAGCAACAACACTATCACCACCATCATCATCATCGCCACCATCATCATCACCACCATCATCATCATCATCAGCATCATCAGCAACGTCATTATCATCATCGTTATCATCGTGAGCAGTACCACATCATCAGCATCATCATCATCAGCATCATCATCATCAGCATCAGCGTCATCCATATCATCACACCCTCGACATCATCATCATTCTCTGCCTGAACCCCATCCAAGTCGCCCCTCCTCCTCATCATCATTGCTATCATCATCATCATCATCATCATCGTCATCATCATCATCAGCAGAATCTGCAACACCACGATCATCATCATCATCATCATCATCATCATCATCATCATCATCATCACCATCACCATCACCATCATCATCATCATCATCATCACCATCACCATCATCAATATCATCAGCACCATCATCAGAATCTGCAACACCACCACCATCATCGACGTTATCATCATCATCACCATCATCATCACCACCATCACCATCATCATCACCATCATCAATATCATCAGCACCATCATCATAATCTGGAACACCAGCACTATCATCGACATCATCATCATCACCATCATCATTATCATCATCGTCATTATCAGCATCAGCAGCATCACCACCACCGCACCATCATCATCATCATCACCGTCGCCATGGCCATCATCATCATCGTCATCATCTCCAGTATCATCAGTGACAACAACGTCATCATCAGCAGCAACACTATCACCACCATCATCATCACCACCACCATGATCATCACCAGCATCATCATCAGCATCATCGTCTTCATCATCGTTATTATCATGAGCAGCATCACCACTAGCATCATCGTCATCACCACCAACATCAGCATAAGCATCAGCATCAGCATTAGCATCATCATCATCATCAGCATCATCATCATCATCATCATCATCATTAACATCACCAGCATCATCCATATCATCACACTCCTCGACCTCATCATCATTCTCAGCCTGATCCCCCTCCCCCTCCTCCTCCTGCTGCCGCTGCTCCCTCCTCCTGCTGCCGCTGCGCCCCCGCCCGCGGCCTGCGACCGCCGTGCACGACCGCACCGCCGGGCTCAGCCGAGCGCGCGCCGCCTCCGCCAGCAGCCCGAGGGCCAGCGCCCACGAGGTCCCGGGGGGAGCGGCGAGCGGGACCGCCGGGAGCGGCTGCACGCACGAGGAGCGGCCCCGGGCAAGGAGTGATGGCCCCCAGGTGCGCGGACCGAGGGCGCGCAGGGTGGCCAAATCCAGGCGCGCAAGCACCCGCTATCGCATCGCGCTCATGGATCGTGGCGGCCCCGATGAGCCCGCACCAGAGGTCGCTCTGGCGAAGGGTCACTCTTACGTCTAGTCGACAAGAGGCTTACCCGTCGGTCGCAAGAGGCGGGTATAAACATGGAACAGGAAGGCGCCGGAAGTAAATGGGGTTTCCGCCCGCGGCCCCCTGAAGAGGAGGGAACAAGGAAGACCACTTGATCCTGGAAGCAAGAAGGCGCCCAAAAAAAATCGGGCTCAGGGGAATCCCAGAAATACCTACTTTCAACGACCGGCGTGTACACCCCTGCTTAGAGTTGAGAAAGCTTTAAGCTAAGAGAAAGGACTTCACTCGAAGCGTGTTGTTGATCAGCAGTGCAGGTCCAGGTGCACGAGATTTCTACAAAAAAACTATAAGAAAACTCACTGGAGGAGGAGGGGGAGGAGCAGGACGAGGAGGAGGAGGACGAGGAGGAGGAGGAGAGGAGGAGGCAGGACGAGGAGGAGAAGGATAAGTGCAAACCCAAGATGCACCAACGATGTTGGAAGAAACCCTCCCTCCGAATTCCCTCCTCATAGGTTCCCACAGAAGAATGTATCCATTGGAAGATAACCGTCAGAGAATCCCAAATCGTGCCAAACCAATTCCTGTGCTTCCAGCACCGCGGAACAGCGTGACTGCTGCGCACTGACAATCCTAAACTGTGCCAGCACACCATCCCTGGGCCTTCAATGCCACGAAGCAGCGTGATTGTTGCGTCCTGGCTCCCAAGTCGGGCCAGAACACAGCTCCTGTGACTTCAGCAGTGCGAGTTCTTGAAACGGTTGGAACATTTAAGACGGATGTGCGCGGCAATGTCCACATATTGAATAAGGACCCCCCTCCATCCGAGAAGCGGTTGTTTTGTTTAATGAATGTGCGCGATGCGAATGCGATAACCACATTTTGAAAACGGCGCCCTCCATCCGTGAACCTTTTTTAAAACAAAGTTGGATCACGAATGTGCGCGGCGGTACGGCAATAACCACATTTTGAAAACTGCCCGCCTTCTATCCGTGAAACGTTTGTAACTGTTTAAAACGAATGTGCGCGGTGCTAAGGCGAGAGCCACATTTTGAAAGCGATCCGCCATCCATCCGTGGAGCGGTCGCGAATTTCAAGCTTCAAAATCATACATGGTGAGAAAGTCTCAAACGAAACGCCTGGCCCGACCTACTGACGCGTCTGGGGGCGGGACAGGGTGGAATTATGTAAAGGGTCAAGGGATGGCGGAGGATGAGGAGGAGGCGGAGGAGGAGGAGGAAAAGGAGGAGGAGGAGACGCAGGAGGACGAGGAATGAGGATGAGGATGGATGGATGGATGGATGGGTGGATGGATGGATGGATGGAACGCTGGGGGGGGGCGACGCGTCCTCTCTGGCTCTGCATACGAGCATATGGAATGGCTAGGCTGCCGATATGAAGTGCCCCCTGCGTTGCTATTGTAAGCGAAGAGGGGCTGTCAAACTCTGGACCGCAGCCTGGCTCGCAGGCGTGAGCATTCCGAGACACCCTCGCCTGTGAACCGTCGGCAGGGATGCATGCGCATGTTCCCACTGCACAAACCTCTCTGAGCCTATGCCTCCACTCACCTACCACCTTGTGGGGCGCGGGGTGGAGGACGACGCAACAATCTGCATGCTACATCTAGCATTTCTCTGGCTTTGCTGCTACCTGCTGCTGCCATTCTCTCCAGGCGGTCTCGAACATTTGGATCGTTCGCGGCCTGCTGAGCAATGATAGCACTCGCTGGAGTCATTTGCCTGGAAGTGGACGAGTGGGGGAGGTGCGGAGGCTCAACGGGAGAGACAAGGGAGTACTGGATAGGCTGGCAGCTCTGCGCTCTACTCCTGCTGCTACTGCTGCTATTCTGCTGCTGCTCACTGCTAAGTCGCTCCCTCACTCGAGATTCGCTCGCAACTGTCTCTCTACCACTCTCACAAGCTCGGGTTTCGGTGCCTGGCCGCGGATCTTCTCCGCGCCTGCCTTCTCCATTCCCTTCAGGAACGCCCGGCGCACCTCCTCAATCGTTGGAAGGTCCAAATCCTCCTTGCCGAAATCTGCAAAGTCGGCCCATTTGTTGAAATTCACCGTCACCTTGGTCTTCCTCTCCTCTGGTCTGCTGTCGTCCTTCTGGCAAGCGTCCTTCAGCCTGCACGCCGAGAAAGTCTCGCTCACAACTGTCTGGCCCTTGTCCTCGCGGTTCGCAAGCTCCAGCCACTTCTTCAGCACTTTCTCGCGTGGCGAATCCCTGAGCTCCGCGTGCATTGCCTCCATCATCGCCATTGCCACCTGCAGATGTGGTGGTCCCATACCGCGGCCTTTCCCCTTGATCTTCACCTGGTTCTGGTAGTCGCTGACTGCTTTCTTTCCCACCTTCACAGGGTTCGATTTGCCTGGGGCGAGCCAGAAGTGGAACATCGCCGCTGCCAGCTCGCGGCCTTGGGCGTCTTGCGACAAGGCGAGGCGCTGCAGGCTGGTTACGTTCTCCATGAGCACTCCGTCGAGCATTTTGTCGTCTCCCTTGCCCTTCGGGCCTTTGCCTGTCTTGGGCTCTCCCTGTCCGCTGGCTGCCGCGCCTGCCCCTCTCTTCGGCGCCCTCCAGGACAGGAGTGTCGCAATCGCCGCCGTACTGAGAAGTACGAATGCCCTCAGGGCCTGGATGGCGGGTGACCGCGCGGTTCTGAAAGTCATCGAGATCTCGAGCGAGATGGCTACAGAGCGAGCAATGGGGGTTCTCTGGAACGATTAACTCGTGCCCCCATCTCACGAAGTTTACATAACACGTCTTGCTTGCACCTTCCGTTGCCGCCATCGCATGATCCACTGCCACTTGCCTGCTTGCAAATATAGTCCTACACCATGGACATTGATTCGTTCTTGTCAAGAGTCCCAAGACCGACCTGCGTCTGTGGGCTTGCTGTTGATGTGCCGCTAGTGCTATGTATGTTGTGTGCGCTTTCCCGCGCTCCACCTCCACCCCCTTTGTCGATCCCCATGTTGCATATGAACTTTTTGTCCATGTGATCTGCTACCTCCTCCTCCAATATGATCATGTCCTCCTTCATTTGTCTCCTCAAATGACGTGTGGGGGAGCGAACGCTGAGCACATCTGTCGAGCGCCAGCGTTTATTTTCCTCGGCCCCGTCGACGAACAGCAGCCAATCGCGGCCGTTGTCTGGGTACCATGCACAGAAATCTTCCGAAAATGTCGCCAGTATGCGAAGATCGGACTGAACTTGCAAGGCCCACGGCGCGCTGCCGCGGTAAACTCTGCTGGGCGTATCAAGTCGAGAAACTCCCTCCACCTCCTCCATCAACGTGTTACCGTAGATAGCTGCAAGTACATGTTTAGCGGCCTCAGGAAACCTCCCCAAGCTCGAATATATTTTCAACCGTCGTATGAAAAGCTCTGTCTCAGTATCATCTATGTCCCAGAACTCGAAAACCTCGAAGCTGTTCATCGATTCCGTTTTTCCCTCAGGCGTGATCCAACTACATTTCCCCCCCGCCATGCCCCTCATCAGATTCGCCGTAATTTTATTCAGAAATGTGGCGTGCTGCTTCTCAAGAATCATCGTCGCCGTCCCCGACCACCCTGCGCCCTGGACCAGACTCTGAAACATCAAACGCTTTGTCTTCTTTCAACTCCTTGGCCTTTTCAGAGACAGCCTCCCTCCCTCCAAGCTCGATGCTTCGCTTCCCCCCTCCTCCGGATTTCACCGGTGATGGAGCCGTCCGAATCCAAGTAGGGCCCCAGCATTCGCATATCTCGCTGGATTTCTCCCTGGACCCCGTTCGCTCTCTTGCGGAGCTTCCTGGCGGTCGCTTGGGCCCCGAAACCCCGAAGACTCACGAGATGATGAGTTCTCCCCGCATTCAGCATGCACCCGCCCTCCGCCACGCGGTCTTCGAGCGAGCTGGCGGCGAAATTAATCTTGGAGGTGGTCTCCTGCAAACTCGGTGTCCCCCAGCCAGACATGCGTTCGAGTCACATCATGCATAAATGTCGCCAATCCGATATCCACCTCCTCTCCCCGTTGCATCGTCGGGCTCCGTGTGCGTAGCAAGCCGCAGGTGCTGTCCTGCTTCGTGAGGTTCTGATTCCATTTCTCAACCAGCGGGTTGTAGCAGTCATTGAAGTCGCGTGGGGCAAGACAAAAACCCATCTGGCTTCCGCGTTTTGGCATGAGGCTGATCTCCTCGTCGCTGCCCTTGATCATCATCGAGGCGTGTTCAATGGCCCCCACTGCGAACGGAATTTATTTCTCATGGCTCTGTGTCCGCGCGATCTCCTCGAGCCTTGAACGGTCCGTGCAGCCAAAAGCATTCGCGCAGTCAAAGTTCGTCGTAATATGGCTGTGGCCCAGTGATAATATTCGCCATCTGCAACTCATAGCGGTTATCAGTGCATCTTCTCTGCATTGCTTAGCAAGTCCGCCGTGCGCCCACTAGGGTCTTTCTCTGAGAGGTGCACGCTCGTGGATCCCGCTGTGAAATCCCATCGGCCATGCGCAATAGCAATGCATCATCCGTCTCCCCAAGATGCCCCCTCTGCCGTTTCCCTTGTCCATGCTGAAAGAAGAAGCTCGCAGGCAATCAATCGGGGCAGCTTCGCATGTAGGTACCTTGATCAAGAACTCCGCGTATCTTCTCTGAAATAACTGCGCTTCGCAACTCATCTCCTCAGTGCCAACTCCTGCTCTGAAGTGTCGCTTGAAAATTCGTAAATCGGGCAATGCAACTTCAGCTGGCGCGCCATCGGGATCTGCTCCGAGTGCGGAACCTGGCCCCCGTCCCATCTTCAATAAAAGCGAGCGGCCCCTGTTCGTCTGCGGCCTGTCTCCCTCTCCCTCTGCCTCAGCAACTCGTTGTAGTCGTGCTGCAACTCGATCACTAGCTTCATTGGGATCTGCTATGTTCTCTAGCGGCTTCTCGACGAGCAGTGCCATCTCGCTGGGAAGGCCCCGTGTCGGGCATGCTCTCCTGTTGCATGTACGTCGTAAATAACGAACTAGTGCTTTGCGATCTTCTCGAACGTCCTCCATCAGCTCTGCATCAATGAATCGCACGTCGCCCTCACCGTCGTTCTCCACTGTCTCGCAGTACTCTGCTTTCACCTGCTCGTAATTTATCGTCTCTGCCTTCAATCCAGCGTCGTTCCCCTCTTTCCGCAGCTCACTTCCCCATTCGCATGCTGTTAGATTTGTTCGCGGTGAATAGAAATAGCGCTTCCGTGGCCCTCGCCCCGCACCGCTATATTGACAGCGAAGGGCATGTAGTTCTGCAAAGTTCCTCTGGTCTGCCGCTTGGCAGACGGCTTCCACTAGTTCTTCCTTTCTGCGTCTTTCACGGGCTTCCCTTTCTGACTTCAGCGTCGCAGAGAGCTCCTTCAGCTTCGCTTGGATCGCCTCATACTCCTCCCCCTCACCGGTCCCCGCGCGCTCCCTGATCTGTCGCCGTTCGTCTAGCAGTTGCATTCGGCATCTGGTTGCCGCTTCCAGCCATCCTGGCTTAGCCTTCGCCCCTTGCGGGAAGACCTCCTCCATGGCCTTGGTAACTGTGGCCCGCAAGTTCCCCCGCATTTCGTCAGGCGTGCGCTTGGACTTTGCTCGCTGCCAGGTCTCTTCATTGATCTTTTTCTGCAACTCTTCGATCTTGTGTAATAGTTGCTCACGATCCACTCCTTTACGTAAACACTTCATAAGAGCATCTCGGTTCACTCGCGTTGGCCAGCGTTGTCCTCGTAAATCCGTGTTGCAGTCAATCACCAGCGCTACCGGAATGTGGTCTCGCCGTTCACGGTGTCGGATAGGTTGTAGCCGTCGTCCTGCAACAAGAAGAGTACGACATTCTCGGACCGCTCCTGCGGCACCGTCTGGAATAATAATGCGGTCTATCCTGCTCTTGCTTTTCTCGCCGAAATACGTGGAGCCGAACTCAGGCATAAATGTGGTCTGTATCGTTGCTGTTCTCCAGCTTTGGGTCTTGACTGCCGATCGCGCCTCCCTTCGTGAACTCAATAGTGCCTGTCGGTCCTCGTTGCAGTCCAAAATCAGAATTGCAGTCTGCACACCAAATGATTGTAGTGATCCTGCCATGCTTGTCACAAATATGCTCAAGCAATGCAGAAATTCTCATCGCCAACTCCTCTGTGCTCTTTCTGCCCATCGGTGCAAAGTAGGTGCCGATCAGCAATATGTCCATCCTGTGTCGTTTCAGCCTGAGCTGCAGCTCGCCCTCGTAGTCCTAGTGGTGGGTGATGTACCTGATGTCAACATGTCCGAGGTAAATCATTTGAAAGAAGGAAACTGATTCCACAACTGTTGTTCACCCATCCACTACGTCTCCAGCCACAATGTATTGCCCAATGATGAGACAGTTGTTGTATCGTAGCTGGATGCTCCCAATCGGCCCGTCGCTTTGTCCCCGTCAGTGTAATCATCTGCCACTTCTTTAACTCTCTACTTATGTCTTCGCACCGTTCTCCCCACGCATGTTGAGGATTGTACTGCGCAGTACCCACCATCAATAACGTTATCATGAATACCTCGCTGGCCAGCATCGCGATGCAACTCATCAGCATCGCGTCGCCATCCCTCGCGGCGTTCGTGCCGCGTCCCTCGGGGTTGGGACTCCGACACCCTGAGAAATTTTGGCTCCTCTCGCCAGCTGACCCACAAGCCTTGCGCCTGATACGCCAGCTAATGAGGATGAGGAGGTGGAGGAGGGAGGGAAAAAGGGATGGAGGGAGAGAGGGAGGCAAAGGAAGGGGGGGGAGAGGAGGAGGAGGAGGAGGAGGAGGAGGAGGAGGAGGAGGAGGAGGAGGAGGAGGAGGAGAAGGGAGCGGGGAGAAGGGAATGGGGGAGCACGCGGGCGGCCGCGCTGTGGCTCCGGCAGTGCGGCTCGCCTTTTGTTCCTGGGCGCGCACCTCGGCCAAGAGGCCCCCCGGGGGATCTTCCGCTGCGGGTCGGCCTCTCCGGCGGGGCGGCCAGACCCGGGGCGCATCTTTGTGCGGCGCGCGAGGGCCCGCTGGGCGTTCCCAGGGAGCTGCCTCGTTGAGCTGCTCGGGGCGGTCCTGGCACGCTCCGTGGAGGTTGCTCGGCTCTGGCGGGATAGCTTCTTCTCGACGAGGGCATCATCGAGGCTGGGACGTTCGTGCACGTGGACGACGGCATCCGTATAAGTGAAACCGGAAGATCCGAGCGCTCGAAGACCTAAAAGCGAAGAAAGAACTGCATGTGAAGAAGGAGCGCGTCGGATGCCTTGAGTTATTCGGCAGGCCCAACGCCAAGCTGGACATCAAGTCCGTCTTTATGTGCCAACTCGAATGCATCAGCAATCTGCCCTTCATCTTTGAACTGGGCTCTCGGCGCCGGACGCCAGACACGAAGGCAACAGACGAAGAAGTCTCAAATGGCCGCAATTCGGGGCAGAAATATAGCGGCCATCTCGGACGACTCTGTGCGGACCCAAGTACGATTCATGCGACCTGTTGCAGCGGACGCCCGATCTGATGGTGGGGTCGGGTAGATCTGCTACGCTGGTCCTTGGCAACG